TGCAGAATTTATATCAGTTATGTCATAATGCTGAATAAAATGTCTCTTCCTTTGTCTCAAACAAAATTACCCCCAACACAAACAAGTCTTCTTTTCATTAATGTGATAGATTTCCGTACCCACATGCCAAGGTATGTTTTTAACAGTATAAAGAAAACAACAACTTAACTGCAGAAGTCTTAAAACAGACTTTTATTTGCAGTCGACTCCATGTGCTTGTGTTTAATCCACATAATTCGTAGGTTATTGAAGTTTCCATGTTATTGTTGCTATAAACACTTGGAAGGGACTGAGGACAGAGGGAAATCTTTGCATTGCATTGACTCCAGGCTTCTTGCCAGTCTGCCTCCAGTTCATGGGCGGTTGCATAAGAACGAATTAAGTCTGCTAGATAAGCGAGATATAATTCCAATTGCACCCTGAGCCATGCACTACCGCCCAGCCAAGAGCCAACACGCACACGCAACCTGAATAGCGCAGTGGTTAGAGCACTCGCCTCGCAAGCCAGAGGACCTGGGTTTGATTCCCGTGTAGGACAAAACCTTAAGGGCAAGTTTCCTTACTCCACACACACGCCTCTGTTTACCCAGCAGTAAGTAGGAACCCTCTTGTTAGTCGATTGACAGATCGCTTTTCCGGGGGCGATAATCCCTTCAATAAATAAAATTATTCAATTCATGCCTGTAACAGGACCATCACAGGGATGAATTGGAAGCAATAACAGCTGCTTAATATGTTACACATTTCATTTAGCGCTGTTGACAACCCTCGCAGCTATCAAAGGTCCTTGTCTAAACCTTGGTTCCGAGCTGAAATCCTATGTAAGGTGGAAAAAAAAGAGACTACGTTACACACTTCAGCTCCAGACACTGGACCCCGGTTGATAAACATCCAAAGCACTGAATTACCTCCAACACAATCTCGGTTTCCCATTCCTGGAGAGAGAGCTTCCACCTCGCAATCCAGACAGGAAATATTGGACCAGTCTGAAACAATCGATCTTATTCAGATTTATTATTTTAAGAGCGGCTTTAACCCACCGACAATGTATCTCGTAACCCAGTCCTGACCTGACAGGAAAGGCCTGTTGATCCAAGCGCATGTACGTAATCAAAATCTTACAGTACAGTGTTTTCCGGAGGCAAAAGAAAACTATATGTTTAAACACCACCAATCCTCAGAGAAAACTTAATCTCACTTGTCTGAAATGGGAATTAACACGTCTCAGAGATTGACAGCCGTCTTCTGATGCATTGCACCACCTCAAATAATAATAATAATACTTATATTCGATATAGCGCCTTATCACGTCATCGAGACTTCTCAAAGCTCTTCACAGAATGTGGTGTAAAGTGTAGATACCCTCACACAACAGAACCACAGCACAACTAGTTACCAGGAGAGGGAAACTCTCAGCTCATTTTCCTCTCTAATCTGAGACACTGAGGCCAATTGTTGTGTATCTAGAGGCACCCAACTGGGGTTACAACAACAACAACAACTTGCCTTTAAACAGCTCCTTTCACGTGGGATAGCGTCCCGGAGCACTTGACAGTGGCGGAGTCTGATCTTGAGCCAGGGGGAGAGGGAGGGATTGGGGGGAGGTGACTGCAAGCACGATCAAAAAGGAAAGTCTTTAGGCGGGATTTTAAAGTAGGGAGGGAGGGATTGAGGGAGAGAGTTCCAGAGTTTCAGGATGTAGTGGCTGAAGGCACGGCCACCGATGGTGGAGCGGAGGGGACGAGGGATTAGTTAACACAGAACAGAACTGCCCTGGTCTGTAAAATCTCAGCTGCTCGCTGCACACGGAGCTGCTTTTGCCATCAGCCCTGGTTCACTGCTGTATTTGTTATTCCACTACTTAATACTTAAATGAGAAAATTCTGCCAATTAGATACTCTTCTCTGTGTTTTTAAAGGATGGATGTGGAAATCTGAGCAGATCCAAAGCAGGTTGAGATAGAAAATCCTGTTTTGTCTTCATTTAAATCAACCTCAGTTTAGAGGTGTCTATATATATTTTTACCAAACAAATTGGTAGCATATGTGAACTCAAAGAGACGAAAACTTTCTGTGGCTTGTGTAATGGTTAGAGGGGATGTGCCTGGTAACAGGGAGAGTTTGGAGTAATGTTCTGAGTTCCTGGGAATAATAGTAATAATAATAATCCTTGCATTTGATACAACATCGTATCACATCTTCAACACATCTCAAAGTGCTTCACCAGATATACTGTAAAGTGTAGTGACTGTATATTTTGTCGTTGAAACGTGGCAGCCAATTGCGTACAGCAGTGTCCCCACAAACAGCCGTGGATTGAGTGATCACATTATCATTATTATCATTATTTATTATTTTTAATAAATATGTCCACAGCAATAAAACTTGCACGTCTCCAGGCCTGGAGTAAAGTGAACTTTCATTCGAGCTCCCGCACACTACTGAATATGAAATAAAAACTTAAATGAAAACATTCTTTGCACGATGGTGTTTTTGCCAGTTTAAAACAGGATAAATGTGTTTTCAGTGGTTGTGAATGGGCCAAGTCTGTGAAACTGAAAACTGCCGTCTCTCTCTCTCTCTCTTTCTCTCTTGTTTTTGTACCAGAGAAAGAAAGTTTGGATCCATCTTTGAATTTTTGGACAAGTGGCTCATCTTTTCACTGGGAGATAAACAATGCTTTTCAACACCGCACCAAACAGTTGATTTATATTACATTTCCAAGACGTTTAATAAACTTGGATTCTTTAAACCTTTCGCTGGAAGCTGGCAACGGTTGAAGCTGATCAAAGCAGCAAAGAGGAAATCTGGACAACAGCTAATAGCAATTTGTTCTGCTTCTTAAATTCGTTGCAAACCGAGATATATTTACCGTCTCCAGAGTTGTTGTTAAGTCGTATCCGGATGCCGTTGGACGAAACAGTGGGACATTGGTGACGCAGTGTGTTCAGACCAGACTGAGTATTTACAGCGTAAAACTATGTAAAATGAATTCTTCTTCTTTTGGAAGCAGAAATTGACCCTCTTGCAAGAGAGAGACCCTAATGTGGAGGAGCCACACCTGTGATAGGTAAGTCCACACTCACTCCAACAACAACAGCGACTCTCATTTATATAGCGCCCTTCTCTCCAAGGCTCTGTTCGCAGTGGACAGGTCAGTTGGTCTCGTCAGATTTATAAACTTGAAGGTTTGTTATCTGGGTGGAATTTGCATGTTAAAAGCACAAAGAATTCCTTCTCATTACAATTACATCACGCTTTGGGGACATCCTCCTGATGCGAAAGGCGCCGTATAAACCCAATGTGTTGTTATCGTAAACACACCATCTGATCGACATTTAAAGGGTTAATTGGTCTTATCTCTCACTGGGTAAGAGTTTGTTTGTTACCTGATGGCTTTGAGATAAACCGGAATGAGAACCACAGCAGGAAACCAAACAGAAGTCTTGGCACCGAGACAGAAATTAAACGTCATCACGATGTAATTTGGTTAAAACCTGAAAAGGCATGTACTTGCCAGTACATAAAAGGGTTAACTTATTTATTCTCTCGCAGGGTAAAGCTCTTTGTTACCTACTGGTTTTGAAATAAACCTGAATGAACGCTCACCGAAAGCTCAGGTAATGCAATTTTACTGCCATCCTTTGGATGGGATGTTAAACTGAGGTCCCGTCTGCCTGTTCAGGTGGACGTTAAAGATCTCGCGGTGCTATTCGAAAAGGGAAGGGAGTTTTCTCTCTCTCTCTCTCCCCCCCCCCGGTGTCCTGACCAATAATCGGCCAGTTAAATAGTCTGTGGGACACTGCTGTGCGCAAATTGGTTCCCTGGTTCAGCTACAAATATACAGTCACTCCACTTCACAGTAATTACTTCAACATTTGGACAAAGTGTTAAGGCTGTACATCAAATGCGACAATTATTATGATTTGGTATTAGTTCTACACAACATTCAAATTAATGAAAGTTTTAATGGTTTTTCCGTATAAAATGTACATGGATTAAAACGCTGCTTGGATTTGCATAAAATCAGATTCCGGCCACAGCCAAACTCAGATTAAATGTTTGAATTTGGAAAATAACCCTTGCACTTCAACAGAATGCATTTCAACAGAAAAAAACACTCACTTCCCTGAAGGAATGTTTTGGCAGTTTGACATATGTTCCTCGAGGTGACATATACGAGTTATAATAAATAAATCCAGCAGCAACACAAGTAGCAAACCTCCAGTCCCTAGTCCCTAAAATACACAGTATTCCTGCACACACGATATCAAAGGCACCAGCTTTAAACAGTCGCAAACTTGATTTCGCCCACAAAATACACAGTCATTACACTTTACAGTATATTCTGTGAAGTGCTTTGAGACGTCTCGAAAATGTGATAAGGCGCTATAACAAATGCAAGGATTATCATTGTTATTAATTAGTTCTGAACAGTGGTGTCGGTGCAGTAGGTATAGTACTGATAGGTCAATAGTTGCCAAAAATAATACATTGAATTAGGCAATTTTCATTCCTCAAATAAATAAAAATTTGTGCCAGTGAGGAGTTAAGGCACCACCTGGTTTTAATAGGCATTTCTCCTGCTTTCCACATGGCATCTCTCTGAATGTATTGAAAGCAGACTTCAAACTGGCATCTTAAATACTCTAGTTATGGTCAACTCAGGGGCCGAACAGAGTATGTCCAGTGGGATGTTTCATCATTCTAATAAAATGATATTTTTCAATAAATATACAACCATATCAAAAACATACACTTCTATACTCGGGTTTGTCAATACTTTAGAAACACACACACCCTACGAACGATATTAAAAACACAGTCAAATAATTCGAACTGAGTTGGTGAATTCCATTCAGAATTAAAGGATCCCATGACTGTGTAAAAAAAGAGCAGAGGTTTTCTTAGCTTAAGGCATGTGATAGATCTACACACACACACACACACGCACGCACATACGCACTCTTAAGTGAAGAAAGGGAAATTAATGTTTCTTACCTTTGCCAGTTTGACCGGGGATTCAGTTTTAAAAGAAAAATTGCTTCGTGCAGTTCTTGGTGTGTTGGTAGAATTTCTCTTAGTTGCTCTGCTGAATGGGTTTCTATCGGTAGCTTACTCCAACATAGTTTGGAACTTGAAGAGTACAGCACAGAGAGAGAGAGAGAGAGAGAGGGAGGGAAGGAGAGAGTCAGTTTGAGAGGATGGCTGAGAGGGTGTGTGTGTGTGTGAGAGAGTGTGTGAGAGAGAGTGGGCTATTTCACAAGCTGTTTAATGGGCGAGACTCAGATCAGCTTTGGGTTTTTTTTGAGCTTGTTCCAACTGAGAATTGTTGCTCGGGTTCTAAGACACAAAAGGACCATGTTTGTGAAATTGGGGGAAGGGGGAAAGAATTTTGAGGATTTTTTTTAAGCCCTTTTCAGTGTGAATTTCACAGACTGTATTTGACAGGAATGTACTCAATTTACAGATTGACGTGAATGGGTATCCAGCAAAAGTTTTTTTTATTAATTTAATTTTACAATGCAAAGACCCTTCTCTGTCAAACAAACTGCGCTTCCCGGTTATTTATTATTCAGTGAAACAATTGAGAATTAATTGTCAATCCTCGTCAGAACTAAAAACTTGACTTACATCCGTATATACTGAGACATTATTGTTGGCCACATGACAAGTTATGGGAGCTACATTTCTGACGGTCGTTTAGGAGATGTTTGTTTAAATGAAATCAAACCAGACTCTTTTCATGGTAAGGTCTGGCTATCATCATGAATCTCTTGCATGAACTGGAAACAGATGATTCTTAATCTAGGACAGTCCCATGTCCGCTCGCGCGTGTAAACCTGCACAGCATTCAATACCTCACTACAGGCATTTCCAACACTACACCCAGCCTGACGTTAAGTGATGGATCTCCATCCAGGTTCCCACCAGTGGCAAGATCTCACCTCACAGCTTGAGCCCTGACTGTCCAGCGCCTTGGGACGTCCTCCCAACATGAAAGGCGCTCTATAAATGTAACTTTGTTGTCGTTGTTGATCTTTGAGCAGTTTGGGCTTTGCCGGACCTCAAATGTGTAGATTCCAGATTGGAATCTGACTTCCAAGCGCTTGGTGAGACTCCCATCCATGTGCCCAGGCGCTACATCAAATGTAAGGATTATTATTATTATAAATCCAGATTTACCACTATCCATTGATCCTCTAGTTTAGTGCCTACGGCTATCTCTGTCAGCCATCAGAGACTGTTCCTTGGGACGTCCTCCCGACTTGAAAGGCGCTAAACAAAAGTCATTTTGTCGTTGTTCCACTGAAGCACTTTGGTTATGTCCAGAGATGCAATGAATCCTCATACAGTGTTCTGCAGATCCACTTGACCTTCTGCACCTGGTGGTGACTGTCTTAACATCGTGGAGTCCTGTAGCTCAGTGGTTAACGAGCTCGCCTCACAAGCGAGAGGCCCTGGGTTCAATTCCCGGCCAGGCGAAACCTGAGGCAAGTTTTCTTACGATTGTTCATCAAGTGGTGGATTGCTTTTCCAGGGATAATAATCCCCTCAAAAAATAATAATAATAATTAGGTCACTCAATCTACGCTGCTGTGCGCAATTGGCTGTCACATTTCGCCCACAAAATACAAAGTCAATTCACTTTACAACATATTCTGTGAAGGTCTTTGAGACGTCTCGAAGACGTGCTTTAAAGTCTCAAAGCTCTTCGGAGAAGATACTGTAAAGTGGATCGACTGTGTATTTTGTGGGCGAAATGAATGCAAATGCAAAGATTATTATCATGTCTTTCCATTGGGATTTCCAAAAAGAACTGATTGTGACTGTTAGTAATTAATCTTTCTGGATCATCTCAGAGCCCACATATTTCCACACAGAACACAGGTCTATTTCATGTTTTCATCAAAGCCCAAGGATAGGAACTTGGACAACATTCCCGCAAGAGGGAACAGATCTGCCACACAGTCAAGTGGAACCTTTTAGTAATCAGTCTCATTTGCCAGCTAAAGGGAAGTGCGACTATGTTAAGAAGTGGCTGATTGAACATTACTCACTTGAGGAAGTGGAAAGAACAGCAAGTTCCAGGTGGAGCTAAGACCATCGGGCCTGTTGCTTTGTGATGCTGTCTGAAGCTGCCTTGGAACTCGCTGCCCTGAAGAGTTGGTTGAATCAGATCATGCAGATGCATTCAAGAGGAAGCTAACCTTCACCTGAGGGAGAGAGGAACAGAAAGGTGTGGAAGGGGGTAAGCACAACTCATCAGGGCTGCTGAGGCCAATTGTCCCACTAAAGCACTGTCTCGGTTGCGATTCAATAACCGATGCCCTCATCGTCCATAGGATACAACTGGTCACTCTGATTAAAGGAAACCACTCTTCCTCTATCTCCTCCCTTCCTTTCCCCATCTTCAGGTCGTACCTGAAGACCTTCCTCTTTAACTGTGCTTCCGGTCACCTCTCCCCCTCCCCTCCCCGTGGCTTGGCTTCGTGCTCCGCCACTGTCAAAGCGCTCTGGGACACTACCCTGCGTGAGGGGCGCTGTGTAAATGCAAGTTATTGGTAAAGTTATTGGTAAATAACTCTAAGACACGATAAAGCGCTATATCAAACACAAGGTTGTTTATTATAATTATAAGTTGTTGATCAGTTTAAGTTGTTCTTCAACGCCAGCAAAAGAAACGTCGTGACTTTATCTGGGGGAAAAAATACCGTCACCCACAAAAGAGTTAAACTGCAAGAAGCAGAAATCTGAAGGGTTTTTGTATTTATTCGACGGGGCGTGGGCTGTTATCTGTTTGGCTGTAGTCCAGAGTGTCCGTCTATGTTTGCTACCAGAACCCATCCATATAGCTGTCCCCTCTCTCTCTCTCTCTCCCGAAGCTCGAGAAGTTTGCTATGAGACTGACCACAGCTATAAGGTGACCACAGCGGATTTCCTGACGTTCTCTGCCAAGTTGTTGTTTTCTTAGACGTTTGAATCAATGTTATTTTTGGAGCGGCCACAAGTCATGTGGATGTTTTATTGTATGGACTGAGAGGCCGTCACGAAATTCGACTCAAATAAACCAGGGAACTTTAACGCACACAGGCTGACTGATGTCTGTGTGACTGGGCGGAGAGAGAGAGAAAGAGAGAGACAGGTCGATACATCTATAATCAATACACTAACCAGATCGGATTAAAGGGAATAGTCAGTCTGCAGTTAACAAGAATTTCCCAGGTTAAAGGCTGGTGCGAAATTTCTCTGGGCGTAATTTCTCGTGATTGAAGATTTTTCGAAAACCGATTAGTGTTTTATCGCTTTGTTTTAATTATTGAAATGATAAAAAGAGGCGAGTTTAGTAGCTCGCTGTACACCACTTCATCCAAATGACCCTTTGCTGCTAAAGTGGAACAAAATGCCCTGTTTCCTCCCCCCACCCACCTCCTAGCCTTACATTTTAGCAGGATATTTGCAAGTGAACGCCTAACATTCCTCATCTATTTCATAATATGAATAATGAACACTTGAATGAGATACGAGACACTGGTGCCCGAGTAGAAAGTGGTGGTGGTGATGGGGGGGGGGGGGGGGGAAGAATCAAATGCTTTTGTTCAGAAGAAGAAGTTTAGGGAGAAAACTTTGCAGAGACATTTGGCGGCACAATCACAGTTACTCGGTTCAGCCCATTCGTAATGCGGAAGAATTATGCTATCCCACCAGAACTATTCTGCGCTAACCTCTCAGCACAGGACAGCCCAGGACTCCTGGCCCTGTCTGACTGACACCGACCAAATTCAGATCAGATCAGGTTTCTGCCCCAGATTTTGAGGTTATCCCCAAAACAATAGGGGCTACTGTACATCTTGGGGGATTCGCTTCAGCGGGATTTCACACTGGCAGCTCAGTACTCAGAGGCTGAGCGATCCGCTGATTAACCCATCATCGCGTTATTGCCTCTGTCAAGGTCAGCGCTGAAGAGAGACATCGCCAATTAACCCTTCGACCGCTGGTATCTGCTGGCGGAGGTCCCTTCCGTTCGGATGAGATGTTTAAGCCGAGATCCCATCTGCCTCTGTTCAGGGGAATATTGAAGATCCCGCGTCGCTGTTCGAAAAGAGAACAGAGTTTTTCTCTCTCTCCCCCCGATGTCCTGGCAAACAATGGCCCCAGATAAAATTGTTCACCCCACTCCATGGCTATTTGCTGTGCGCAGTCCATCTAAAAAATACATCATCCACAAAATACAGTCAATCTAGTTTACAGTCTATTCTGTTACTGTATCCTGTATATCCAGGTTGATAAATGGAGTGCTATATAGGAGAAAGTGGGACTACTGAAGTCATCATCTTAATCCACTTACCTTTCCCTACTCAATGCAGAACCAACCCATCAGCGGACTTAATGAGTTTCCTGTATCGGTGGCTTCTCCGAGTGTCCCATAGCTGTGCTGTAGATTGTTCCTCTCGCTTCGCCCAGTCCTGAAACGACAAAAGGTTTCTTTCCCAAACTCCGAGTTCCTGGCCGGCCTGTCTCAGATTGCTCGGTTCTTATTCAGTAAAACTGGATGTCAGCCTGAAACGTTTTGCTGTGCGATTTATCAATTTGGGAGGTTAAGTGTGATTCCAGGCTCTGTTTTGCCACATTCTTAATGTCGGTCTGTTACTATCCACTGGGCTTCATTATCTCAGTGGAGTCATCATTTATCATCCTTCTGTAGGCAGACAGGTCAATACCTTTATAATATTAATAATAATCCTGGCATTTGATGCAGCGCCTCATCACGTCTTAGAGATGTCTCAAAGCCCTTCACAGGATACACTGTAAGTGTATTGACTGAATTTTGTGGGCAGCCAATTGCGCACAGCAATGTCCCACAAACAATCATGGACTGAGTAACTAGATTAGAATTATTTATTTTATTTTTGAAGGGATTATTACCCCCGGAAAAGAGAGTCCGCCAATTGACTAACAACCAGGTTCCTACTTACTGCTGGGTAAACAGAGGCGCGTGTGTGTGTGGAGTAAGGAAACTTGCCTAAAGCTTGAATCATCAGTAAAATGTAGCTGAGTTAAAAACGTGCCTGGATTCAGCACAGTAAATACCTGGGGTAACAGGAGAATCTCAGGGGGAGAAAGTTTCAAACAGTAATAATGAAGTGGAATGCAGTTTGCGGCGAGAGACATGGCATGGAAGTGCT